GTCTCCTGTCTGTTATGGTAGGGGCCGACTGTGTTCATCCACAGCACCACCTCTTCGTTGTCTTCGTACTAATGGCGAGACATATGATAATGACATTCAATGGGAAGTCCAGCTCAACGCCGACCACACAATACATACGGTATGCGAGTGTTCATCGCTGATGGTGTCCGATATGAGACACACGACGAGCAGACACACAAACAGGTGATGGCCTCTCTTCGTCATCGTGCGGTGGATGTGATGGCGACAAATGTGGTGATAATCGTCGGTATGAGTTCGTGGTTGAGTGAATCAAATGCTTATAAACGTCTAATCAGTTGTTCTCCACGTCAGAGACATTGAGACAACACTACAGCCATAGACATAGACATAGTGTTCACAAACGCCTCACACGAACACAAACACACAATACATGAAAATGCATTCAACACTTCAATACAGTCTGTGTGTGTGTTAGCCATCTATTGCCACACGATTCATACACTTTCGCTGTATGTCTATTCAGTATTACACATACTCTGTAATGACAGGCGGGGGTGTGAGGGGGCAAAGGGTTATGCAATTGTTTTGGCATCACCGGCACTAAACACTGGAAAAGTGATCAGGGTAATCATTTTAGACCAATAGGCTACAGTTTTCAGCTTTATTTGGATCATTATATTGACAATTTGTACACTTTTCACAAATAAATGGTTATATCATATGATATGATAGTTTGAAAGTATTGTAAACATTAGATAACAGTATATATGTAAAGAAGTCATAGATTTGATTGCATTTGTATTGCAAACAATTGACTGTATTTTACGAGTCATTGATCACCGGAACAGTTGTCTCGACAGCAATGGTAAGCCATGAATGGTCTGACAGTTTGTATAACTCATTGATGGTGTGATTGACAGCACGGAAGAGTGAAAGTGAAGACAGATTTGCAGAAACAGTTGGAGAAGAAGAAGGAAAAGGAGGAGAAGTGTCGCCAATATCTGGCCCTTCAAGAAGTGGTCTTCGGCAGAGTATGTCATCTGCGGCCAACTCTTTGATTGTTTTATTGTCTCAGTGTTTATACCAATAGAGAGCTCGACGTGAATATGACAGCGAATCGCTGGCAACGAGCGCTCAATTGGTTTCAGTTAATCCCGACTTCTATACGGTTTGGAACTTCAGACGAGAGATCATTAACCACATGAAGGA